TCATGTTAACTCTTCAGCTCAGAATTGCCCAGGAATAACTCGGACAATAGATTATATTCATTTCTCCCTATTTGAAAAACACTTCTGTTGGGGTCCCTGCTGTCCTGACACCTTGGGAAAATTCTTGGGAATCTTTTGAGAATATTTTTGGAAATACTGAATATTGGTAAATATTGGTATAATGGAATATTGGAAATATTCTTGGAAAAAATATCACAGGAATATTCTGATGAAAAATAGTTTTCTTTAGTTTGTGTTTTAACAGTTCCAAACTTGTACAAACTTCCAACAGTTTTAATGGAGCCTTCAATTTTTTAAGTACTCAAGAACTCAGCAATTGCTTTAATTTTTAGGTATTTTTCTTTCATATCTTTCCTAATGCATTTTTTTTCATGTTTTTTTAGGGCTAGTAATAACCTTAATGATAGAAAGTCTGTCTCTGAGACTTCAAGACCTACAAATGTGAGGTTTTTTAGATCTTCCATCTCTCCCCATTTGCAAGGAACGTTGCTAAAACATGCTGATGCTCTGGTTCTGGACCATGGATAAACTCTACAGAATGTTTTTTCCATACACTCACATCTTCTTTGCTCTACTTTCTACCCTTCTTGACTGACACTGTGTCTTTCTTACCCTTCTTCTAAACATCTTGCACTGAATTCCTCCAAGATATTCTTCACACTTGTCATCGGTCATTTGCCTTAACTGCAGTTGTCCCTGTAGTTATTGCACATCTACTTATCTGTCCTTTGAGTCCCTTGGTCTGCTGCACTGACCAGAGTGCTCAGTACTTTCTATTTCTTTCCACTCTCATTTTGTTCCTATGGAGTGGTCAAATAGCTCATACATTTTTCATTCTTCTGTTGGGGTCACTGACCAGATGCTGACAATCAACTTGTTCAGTGGCACCTACAGCATGATCTCTAAAGCAACAGACTGTGGTGCTCTGCAGCAGTGAGGAAACATATTCTCTGTATTTCTTAAAGTCTGATAATGGTGAGTTTCTCAGCAAACCAAAGTTTAATACTGATTTCTTTTTTCTGTAAAGGTGCCTTGGTAATGCAATGGTCATTCTGAGTCATACTATGTATGTGGTCATACTAGTGTATCAGGGCACGTTTGAGAACTGTCCTATAAAGAAAGGTTCTTTCATAATTATTTTGGCTGCCCATACTGGGGGTAGGCTCAAATAAAAGAATATATAGCATTACACCCTCTTACAAAGTGCCAGCAGATAGTGTAGCAGATCTCGTCCTACCTGCTTATTACATTACTTTTTACATCTGTGTGACACCAGGTAGAAGTCCAGAGACCTGAGGTGTTAAACTTGCCTAAGCACAGAAATCAAATCATAAAAGAGCCACTGCTAACACTATAACAATGTTGACGTATCAGTACTGTTCCTGAGTGTCAAAGTTGCTGGTGTTGTCATAATTATCTGTGTTCTGAGCATAATTTGGGAATATATTTCATTATACAGTGTACCATCTTACCTAAAGTAAACCAATGTTTTATTAAACTCACTGGAATTAAATTTCTCCATTTAAAATGTTTCTAATTTAAAAGGTTCATTTTGGAAAGACTCTTCAAATCTGAGCTAATTAGCTGGGATTGCCTATTTGAATACTTTATAAAATGCATGAAATTTTTCCAAAATATGTTAAAAATAACTGAACCAGCTGTGAAAAATTTAAAAAAGAGTTTTTCTATGATTGCTCATGCAAAATATTTTTTGGTAAAATGATTTTATAAATTATTTTAATCTATCTGTCTTTCATATACCTACAATTACATGCTTATCTAATTATAAAACCAAAAGTGGATATTTATTACTGAACTGTGATTCTTACTCAAAAAAACCCCAAACCAATCAAACACAAAAAATTAAAAACCAAACCTTTTTTTCCTCAAATGTTTCATTGTATTTAGAACTGGATTAAAATTTCAGAAAGCTTTCTGAAAATATCCCCTAAATTAGTTAGCTTGTTTTTACTTTTATGAATCCTAGCTGTAAAACTGTTTCAGATAATAAGTAAGTATTGTAACATTTTAACCTGATTTACCTTTAATCTTGAAGTTGCAATGCTTTGGGGCATATAGAGGAGAGACAGTAGCAAAATGAACCAGAAGGGTTCAGTTCAGGTGGGGCTGGACTGAAATGGGTCCCTCCAGGGACATTTGGTAGGGACAGTAAGGGCTGGTAGAGCCCTCATGGCCCTGACAGTATCCTTCTGTAATATTTTACAATATTAGCAGTTGACATTATTAAAGCTCTATTAACTGTAAGAATGTTCTTACATTGTTGGGTTTTGTTATCTACAGCATAATTTTTGAATTGGCATCACAAATCATTGTAAGCTAAAGTTTGCATCAAGAGAGTGACAGGTCTGGTCATGGAGAGGAAAAAATTATCCAGTGTTTTTATGCTTTATATATGTTTGTATTCCTATGAGTGATATTCATTGCACTTTGTACTCATCTTACAGATCAATAATTCCACTTATTTCAGCTAAGTCTTCTCTGATTGTCTAGCTCCTCTGAGTAGACTATTTGTGAATTCCTTGAACCTCTGTTTTTAGGCCCTTCCTGCATAAATTAAAGTGCAGGTAAACAATGTGGATGAAATGCTGGACTTCTTAAATTGATAGGAGTTTTGCGACTGCATTTTCTTTGGTCCAATATTTAAGATTGCTGCTGTGTATTTATCATCAGAAAATGAGGAATATAGATTTAAATTCTTAACTTCTTCAGCCCTCTTTTTTTCATTTATATAAGACAAGAAAAGAAGAAGAAAGAAGGCTTGGCTCACATAATTTTTCCTTATCCTGTATTTTAGAATTTGATATCCAAGATTCTTTTTTCAAAACTATAACCTGGGAGGCAGATTTTAGCCTGAGGTTTGTGTTAAGTGTTTTTCTATGGTGAGAGGAAAGAAACCTTCAGATCAGACTGTGATCAGTCTTTGTGAGCAGAAGTTTCCAAACCTTTGCTGAACTGGCAAAAATAGGCATGGCTGTATCCTCCCTTGCTAAGGATAAGATTATTCTAACTGAGAAGACTTTTAACCAAGAAGTGACTAAACAAAAGTGAAAAGGGCTCCTTAAAAGTCTTTGGCCTTGCAGATGCCTATTAGGACAACTGCTTTTCCCAGAGCAGCAGTTGCCTGGACTAATGATTTTCAAAAGACCATAAGGAAAGCTGAAATCAAGTGGTGAGAAAAAGGTCCTTAACATCTGCTTTTGTTGCCAGAAGCTCCCTTGATTGCATCACATGTTCATCTCAAACTAGCAAAATTGAACCCAATGTCTCACTGATAATTATATCTTTTTATCTGGAAAAATGGACAAGCCAAACAGTCTCTTTCATCTGCCAGAATCTGTGAAGCAGAGGTAATTGGCAGGATGTTAGAGAGGTCATAGCATAGTCCAGTGAGAGATTAAAATACACCTGAACTCCTTGAAATTATCTCAGAATCATTTCAGGCTTCCCAGGAAACTGATTATCATTTAAAGTTAATGATCATAGTGAAAACAACTGGGAAGAACGTTTCTTGTACAAGAAAACTCTGGATAAAAAGGAAAGGTCTGTAAAGTACAGAAAATTTTAGAGAAATTATGCATCATTCAGGTAAAAATAAATCTTTATCTATGTCTCCTTACGTAATTTCCTTCTTATCTAAAAAACTTTCAAGAACAGCAAGATCCAATATATTAAGAGACACACATATGAGGTCTCTTTAACCTTACATGCTTAATCCAGGGATAACCAATAATGGATGCCCAGGGAAGAACCTAAGAATATAACAAGTATATAATAAATTTCCCAAATATCTTCCTAGCCTTTAGTCATTCCTACCTAAGGCACATCCCCAGCTGTTTCTGTCAGATGCCTTCCTGCTGGTGGGTAAACATACATAAGCACGCTGAGAGCTAGCAAACTGCCAGAAGCAGTGCAGTACCCATGGTCTCTCTGCAAGCTTCAGGCAATGAGCTGTGTGCTATCAGGTGATTTCAGGAAGAAAAGTGCCTTTCTGCAGCAGCAGTCACAATCCTACTTTTTTCCTTCTCTCATGCACTCACCCCACTCCAGTGAGAGCATGGTTGGTGAGCTTGCACTTTTTTTTTTAGGCTGTTTCTCTTGGCTCTCTGTAGAAGCTCTTCTCCTTTCCTGCACATCTGCACTTCCCCTAAAGGAGTGCATCTGGCTCCTCGTTCTTCAAGAAGGAAAATTCAATTCTTTTTGGAATTGTTCATGCTGGCTTTGAACACAGGATAAACTTACACCTATATATGCAAACATTTTTCAAAAGCTCAAACCTAGTTGGACGCTGAAAGCTGGGTAGTCATCCTGCCAACTGACTCCAAAAATGTTAAGATTGCGTTTAACATACAGTGTTTGTCTCCTTGCTTCATCAGTTTGATCCCTCACAGTACCTGTAAAGTACTCATGGCAGTGGATCAGGGCTCTCTGTTACAAGCTCTCACCTTCCAGTGCTCTCATTGTTTTCTTTGACAGTAACAATTCTCTTTATCTTCATCTCTTTACCTTTATATCTGTGTTTGTAAGGTTTTAGTAAGTGCAATGCAAATATTATAGATTGTGCAGATTAATGGAATAATACAATATAGTGTTGGTTAGGTAGTTAGAAAAGTGTAGGATAACAATATATGGGAAAGGCTAGTGGAACAGGTTGGCATTAAGGTTTTTTATATTTGGAACTTTGTAATATTAACAGGAAAGTAAAACCCAAATTAAAGAAATCAAGTTCAAATCTGATTTCTGAAGCAGAGATTGTATGCACAAAGATTTCAAGTTTAAAATAGAACTCTTGGTATTCTTTAATATAAAAATTTGACTTGTAAAATATTGAATGAAATTATTAAAAAGGGCTGTTATGCTTGACACAACTCCCTCTCAGTATGCATGTTAATACTAAGTTCTAATTTAATTTTATCTCAATTTTTTGTTCTCTCATTTATTGTCTCATACATGTTTCCCAGGATAGTCCACTGGTCTTACAGTCTGACAGAAATGTAACAGTGAATGCAAGAAATCACATGGGACAGTTAACTGGACAACTGACAGTAGGTGAGTGTTCTTTATTGACTATTATATTTATCAATTTAGCTTTATTAATAGGTTTCATTTATTATCATCACATATAAAATATTACTAAAAAGTCAGGAAAAAGAATCTCATCACCATACTCAAAAACCATTGCATACAATGGATCATAAGAGCATGATTCAGCATTAGCTCAAGAAGAACTAGAAATGCCTCAAAATAGCTAAAATGCAAAGAGATTAATGAAAAATTATTATTTTTGAGACCATTGTAGCAAAACAAACTGAAAATGCCTCAGCAAAATATGTTTCAACAACACTTTCAGTGGGAAAATAACCATCATTTTCTTACACTTTCTGTCAGTCTTCCATTACTTCAGTGGCAATTGCTTTGGCCCTGTCACTTGTGTAGGGCATTTGTATCAGCACATATTCAAAGTGATTGGAGTAACAGAATGTTAAAAATCAGAAAAAAAAAAAACAAAAAACCAAAATGTTTTCCTAGTCACTACAAAAATTAAATGAAAATCTAACATATTCCCAGTAATTCATTAAAACTGATATTTTACAAAGGATAAAATATAGCAGTTCCAAATGAAATGGATAGTAAAGAATCCTCTACTTATCTGTTTCACTTACCATGTATTTCCCCCCGTTTTATGAAATTTATTGTTATACTTTGTTTTTAGTATGAATCATAATTCTTGAGTTAATAAATATGAAGTAATGGTTTTTTATATTTTCTGAACTAGAGGAGTACTGATATTAATTTATTTTTAAGAATATTGGCCACAAGAATCACTGAAAAATGATTTACTAGTTCTGGTACAAAACAATATATATTGACTGGGAATGGGATAAAAAATATAACAATATACATTCATAAGACCTTAGTATATCAAATTCAAGGAGACACCCCTTAGACTTTTTTTGTTTTCATTTTTCATTTTACTTCTGGATTAAGATGTGTTTTATTCATTGTTTTTTCCTCATGTGCTGAGGTTATGCCCACAAATAATTTTAACTTAAACTCTAGTTGTAATCTATACTAAGTTTTCATAGTGACTGGAGACAGTGGCTTCTAGTTGTAAAAATCTTTTCCAAGTGCACGCAGTGTCACACCATCTGCACTGATTTCCTGAGCAACCACATCGAATGAGCGTGCAAAGGTAACCAGACTTGCTAGCAGGTACAGATGAGGAAAATTATGGCAACACCTGTTCTGGCCATATTGTACTTGCCCAGTGCAATTACAAAATGCAGTTCTCTATCATCTGGTAACTCTATTGTTAAAACCTCTTCTTCAGCTGGCAACTGCAAAAAGGTGAGTTGTCCATGGCAGACATTCACATTGGCTGAAATAGATATAATATTTTTATCACTGACACTATTCTGGCTGAGTGAATCCAGCACTGAAAATGTGTGTGAGTGTATTGAGGCTGACCTACTTAAAGGCATCACACTAGAGGTTAATATTCTAAAAACATGAAGGCCTGAAGAAAACCTATGTTTTTATGTTACCATCATTAGGGTGAACACCTTAAGCTTCTTGGTGTGCAGCTGGTGCTGTCCCTGGAGACTAGAAGCTTGTTAAATTGCAATATTGTATTTACATTATTTCTTAATCTCTCTTCCTCTTTGTTTCATATATGACCTTTGTTATTTCTTATATAAGTATATTTTTCTGGGTTTTTTTGTGAATCCCCTGTACAGTATTGGATGCATGTCAAAATACTCCTTATCTCTTATTAAATAATTCTTAATAAAGACAGTCACAACTGCCAGCAGAATTAGTAAACCCTGAATGTTGTACTATTAAGAAATCAAAGACATTTACAGGAATCTAAAAGTAAAAATATATTATTAAGGCACTCCCTTCTAAATTTTTTTGTTGTGAAAAACAGAACAGAGACAAATTTTTACTTTTGTCTGGGTAAAAGCATGGCCACATTTGCTGAAAGAATGGTAGGAGTCTTTTCCATACAAAGTTTGCTGACAAAAGAAAATACTTTTTTTCCTATTAGTTGTAAATGTGCCCCAGAAAGTCCCTGTCTTTAAAAATGCTCTCTGTCCATTCACTAGTGATGTGTGCTGAAGCAACTGTTTGTGTGGCTGCCCAGTGAAAGGAATGAAAATAAACAGTGAGGAAAAATGTTTTAAACAACAACAAAAAAGCAAATTATCATGTCTTGGGGAAAAAAATTCTTGTTAAAACTTTGAAATGTCATTATCTGTTCAGTTTTTAAAGAGTTGAATAATAAGCAGTAAAAAAATAGACTACATATTAATATGCATGGCAGGAGCATTCTACAAAGAAAGGATGCCAGTGCATTCAAAAGGATGTTAATGCACTTTTTATACATGTGATATCATTGGCATTTTATCTTCATTTCACAGGACTGAAGTGATACCACAAACCAGCAAATAGACTGGTCTCATCCTGTGTTTGGCAACCACATTGCCGCTCATGCCAAATTTTAGGACAACTAAAAATTCTTTCAGTGGTGTTTGAAACCATGCCATGTAAGAATAAGACAGCCTTAAGAGCATATAGTTAGAACTGTAATAGGAGGATGGATTAGTGTAAAAAAGTGTTATTATTGGGCTGGGGGGAATATGGCTATATGTTCATTAAGGGAGATGGAAAAAAATCCAGTGAAACTCTTAATGGGTATTCAGTTCTGTAAGTGACAAAATATGTCATTAAAGTGCATCATTAAGACATCTTGGGAAACATCCTAATCTAGGAGCAGTGAAGAAAAAGGATATTAAATAATTTTTTTAAAAATTAACTAAGTGTATTGGATGATTGAGTGGTTGCATTATTGCAGTACAGCATTTTTTATACTGGCACCAAAATCTGTACAGAGAGAAAGTCACAGCTGTAGCAATGCTTGCTGTTGGGAACTGTACCAACTGAGCAAGAGATGTAGGTTTGTACTCCAGTCTATTCATGACATATGGTCTGGAAACTGCCAAGTTTGTGTCTGGATCTCCAAGAGGACTCCACAGCCTTCAGTTTTTAGACATGCCATTTAAGACCAATGGAGCAGATGTAGCACAGACGTGAATTGTATGTACAGAATAAAGATGAAAAGATGACAATCCATTGAATTTTGCTGGATAAGTTGTCAGACCTCTCCTCTCTCAGCCCTTACTAATACTTCTGCAGTGTGCATTCTACAGAATTACCTTTACACAATCATTTTTTTCTGTTTAATCAATGTTTGCACAGTTTATATGGAAAATTATTATTTTTTTCTACCCATCTTAGAAATGCACATTAGTTGCTCCCTTCGAGCCACATGTCTTTTGTCTCCATGCTGTCTGCACATATCTTAGATACCTCTGCCTGCTTTTGAGTGGAGTATATTAGGCTTGCAAGCACTAAAAAAATGTAATGTGACATTTGAAACTGAAACACACATTGTATTTAATGTAAATTCACACATTGTATTTAATGTAAATTCATCCTCAGATTGGATTATTATTTCAACTTTTTTTTTGAGAGGTGTTTTTTTCTTACTTTTTTCCTTAACTGCAGTAATTGCTTCTGACAGGTATTTCTGCTACTGTTTGACCCTTTTCAATTCATAAAGAACTCTAGGGATATCTGAAATGCACAAAAAAAAAAGCATTTAATTTCTGCTAAGCTTTGGGCCCTCAGACAGAATCATAACTCTCACAGACATCCAGACCTGTACAAGTCACAGCTTTGGAGAGCTCCTGAACTGGTCTCTCTAGTCACTAAGATCTCCAGAGCCATGCAAATTCAGAAAAAATATTTGAATACCAAAGTTATATCACATTCTTGCAGCTACTTTTTGAAAATAGCAAGCAGATGTATGATTTCCAATTACAGCACTGCTAAAGACTGATAACACTGCTAAAAGATATACTCAAATAACTTGTCACACTTGGAGATCTTTTCCATACATTTACCACAAAACTTGTCTTGTATATTCCAAGATCTTTGTCTTTAAAATGTGCTTGCTTACTTGTGGTGCTCCATCAAGGGTACTTGGTTTATTGTGCAGAAACTGTTGGACATTAGAAACTGCAGGTATGTAACTTTGTGGGAGTGGGAGTCTCCTTCATCATCCATACCTCTATGCTGTATGGCAGTTTCCTGTGCTTATATCAAGTGATTCCTTAACAGGTAACACATCCTGCTACCCCTTCGCTTCTGAGGGCCTCAAAGTAACTCAGCACCTAAAGGCCACTCCTGATGCTCTCTTTGCAACATTTAGATATCAATGAAGATCTGAAGCAAGATACAACATTTCAAGTATTCTTGCTTTCAGAATCATCTGTGGGAGTAGCAAAATGTTATAATATATTCTTTCTCTATGGGGTACCAACAATAATTATAAGGTACGTGTACAAATATGTTTATACATGTTGCTCTAAATCTTTGGTATTATTGTCAAATATTTGTTTGAGACTTTTATGAACATGAACTAAGTATTCATTAATAACGTGCTTAATGAGACAAGAAATGTCTCTGGTTTTGAATCTTGTTTGCATATACTGCAGTCTCAAATGTAAGGTCTTTTCTACTAAGTATTACAAGAAGAGGGTGGTTTTAGGATGATCATACACATACACCCTTTCCTTACTCTTGGAAAAGGGAAAAAATGGTCTCAGCTCTTCTCTTATCTGCATAATTGTTCTTGTATCATCTGTAGTAGAGTGCTGGGAGGAAAGGGATGAGTTGGTTTACGATGCCTCATCAGTTTCTGCCCTTCAACTGGGCAAACATGGATTGGAACTTGTCAGGAGTATGTGAAAGAAAGGCTTTCTCCTTCTGCTTACAAAGAGGTTTGCCTACCTGTCATTCCAAACTACAGTAAGATTTCCAAAATCTGAAATGCATTAAACATTCTGCTAGTCTAATTTCCATATTAAGGCAATTGCTCTTGTAACTACTGTGGTACAGTAGGATAATTATTATTGCTAAGAAGATATGGCAAAACAAAGCCAGATAAATGAATTATCCATTTCTCAGCATTCTCTCAATTTCTA